TTATTTTTGAATGTGATGGGGTTGACATGGTTTGCTCAAGCAACATGATTAGGTATGAAAAAAGCAACAAATCACAAAGCTGAATCAAAACAAAACTTACACCTTCCGAATATGGCTCCTCTAAAGTCGCGTGATATCACTTCCTCTTATTTAGTCATTTACAAAGAGAGTGACGGAGCTAAAGGCAGGGTGAGCACACAAAGTTATACCCAACAGCTAGAATACATACAGCATATTACTTATTTTTTAGTTATGACTTGCGACTTTATACATCTGTCATTTCTGTTATACATTCTTATTATGGTGGGTATATGGTGTAATTTTTAAATATATATATATTTTAAATCTGTAAAATCCCTAAAACAAACTTAAAATATACTGTAATACATAGTAATGTTTTGAAGTAAAACTAAGCTACTCCTTTTGTGTTTAATAGTTTTCCGTTTGAGGAATTTGCAAAAAACTGCAGTGCATAATGGGTAGAATCTAAAGAAAAAAAAACTTTGAGCAAGGCCTTCTGTTTGTTTGCAATTTCGCCCATGTAGGCTATGTTCTTAAAAACTGCTTTTGGTTGGATATAGTCTGATTATATGCCTTTGGTTTCTATGCAGGTGGAACATATACAGTATCCTATTGCTTCAAAACCTGAGAATGTAGCATCTAATTTCTCACTTTCAGTGATTATATTTCTTGAGTATATATTTTTTAAACATTAAATTTAACCAAAGGAAGTAAGTGATATAAGTTAATTTCACAAATTATTTACAGGTTTCACAAGTGCCAAAGGCTATGATATGTGTAGCTTTACTCATGTCCTTGAACCACAGGCTGAAATTAAGGTGCTGGTTTCTTTGTTTTTTGAGCATTGGGATGCTCTATGTCCCATCTACCCAGAAAACAATGGATATAAGGCATATAATTTGATTTCACAAATTTTCCACAGGTTTCACAAGTGCCAAAGGCTATGATATGTGTAGCTTTACTCAATTTCAGCCTGTGGTTAAAGTACATAAGTTGCTGGGCTCTTTGTCTTTTGAGCGTTGGGATGCTCTATGTCCCACCTGCACCGAAAACAATGGATATGAGGCATATCATTTGATTTCACAAATTTTCCACAGGTTTCACAAGTGCCAATGTGCATGATATGTGTAGCTTTACTCATGTACTTTAACCACGGGCTGAAATTAAGTTACTGCAGGGTTCTTTGTTTTTTGAGCATTGGGATGCTCTATGTCGCACCTGCCCCGAAATCAATGAATATAAGGCATATAATTTGATTTCACAAATTTTCTACAGGTTTCACAAGTGCCAAAGGCTATGATATGTGTAGCTTTACTCATGTACTTTAACCACGAACACAAATTTTGTATACTCAATGTTCCACCTGCATAGAAAAATAATGGACATGTTACCTTATACCACTATTTACAGTTTCACGAGTGTTAGTGGGCCATGTATGTATGGAGGGCTAAGAGTGCCAAAATTAAATAAATAAATACACCAATAATTAATTAATTAAATGTG